TAAACTGAAATTCTAGACAATGCCATTTCTCCTTGAAGAGGAACCACATTTACCTTAAACATTTTGGATATCTGTTTATTCTGGATCATGTCTGCGTGCATTGTTGTTTGTTTGTATTGATCTTGAATCTTTCCCTTAGTTACCTTTAACTGCGCAGGGTATTATATGTAATACTTCATAAACATTAAATCTTTGATGTCTTGCCAATCTGGAATTTTGTTTCATAAGGGAAATCACAAAGCATGCGTACCTGCATTCTGACTTATCCTTGATTACTTCTAGTGACTTGGCTTAAAGGGATAATTCACTTTGAAATTAATTTTTGATATGTTTTAGCTTACCTCAAGGGCATCCAAGATGTAGTTGTCTTTGTTTCCACACTATTTTCAACTTTGACATTTTTCAGTCAAACCGTTGTTGTCTATCAGTCATACACTGGAGGCTAAGGGGGTCCACCAAAAAGCATGCACAGAGAAGTCAAAATTAAACATGATTTAATGACTCGTAAATGTAAGTACACATTGATGGCCTAAGACACGAAACGAGCGTTTTTTGTGAGAAAACGAACACTATTTATATCGTTTTTACCTCGTGTAATCCAAGTGATCTGAATCCAATTGAAGTCCAACTGAATCGAACTGAATCAGTTCAATGTTACGCCGGAAGTGATCGCTTGCGTGTGACGTCACTCAATATTTACACAGAGATTTCGGAAGTTTCACCTTTTACTAAACATATTTAGATATACCGAAATCATCTTCCATTGCGGTTTCCCGTATATCTAAATATGTTTAGTGAAAGGTAAAACTTCCGAAATCTCTGCATAAACAAAGAGTGACGTAGGCGCGCAAGCGATCACTTCCAGCGCATGCGCAGACCGAAGCGCCCGTGCCGTCAGATCATTTTGTCATGGTTATGATTACAAGAGGTAAAACGATATAAATACTGTTCGTTTTCTCACACAAACCGCTCGTTTCGTGTCTTAGGCCATCAATGTGTACTTACATGTACGAGTCATTAAATCATGTTTAATTTTGACTTCTCTGTGCATGCTCTTTGAGGTGAACCGATTGAGGACCCCCTTCACGTCCAGTGTATGACTGACAGACAACAACGATTTGACCAAAAAATGTCAAAATTGAAAATAGTGTGGAAACAAAGACACCTACATCTTGGATCCCCTTGAGGTAAGCTAAAACATATCAAAAATTAATTTCAAAGTGAACTATCCCTTTAAGGGAAATGCTACCCAAAAATTAAAATTGTCACCATTTATGTCTCATCCCAAACCTTATGACTGACTTTCTTCTGTTGAACAAAAAAGAAGATATTTTGAAGAATATCCATACAGTGAAAGACAGTGGGGTCTAAAACAACTTATTCTTAGTTTTTTTTTTGTTTTGTTTTTTTTTTACATAAAAAGTCATAGAAACGACATGAGGGTGACTAAATGACTACGGCAAGGACGGCCGGAAACATACTCTACGCAGATCAATGCTTGGCGAGCATGTGGTTGTAAAAAGTTATCAAGGGAGCTTTAAAGTTACCTTTAAATGCCTTTGCCATTAATACAGCTGTGTTGTGACTCAGGTAGCAGCTTTAAACATGTCAACAGAAGAATGTGTGCTGTTGTATTTCCTGTTGAAAGTAAGAGCGTTGAAAAGAAGACGTTTATCACTCTCTATTAAGGCCTCCTGGGTAGTTGTAATATAAAGCAGTTGAAAACATAAAGCAAACATCTTTATAGTGGCAGAACAAATAGAATTTAATTCTGTTTGTTTTTAAAATCATTCATCAATGTCTCTGCATAGTAGTGTGGCAGAATGAACAAACACATATTTTATCTTTTCTGTCATAGTTGCTCGTCTCTAGGGTGTTTTATGTATAAGAGACACAAACTAACAGAGTTGGAAGGCTAATGTTATATAAACTACTACAAGTTCAGATCCAAGCAGCAATCGCTTAAGTTACAAGTTCCAAAACAAAGCAGAAGTGACTTTAGTGCCTTTAGTTATGGGATAGTTCACCCAATCACATAAATTCAATATGTACTCCTATGTCTTGCCAAACCGGTTTGACTTTATTCTGTTAAATGCAAAGGTTAATCTGTTAATATTTGGTCTATCCAACCTTTCATCTGTGATTTTATTGTTCTTAACTTTGAATGTAACTGATGTGAATTTTATGGTATAACCAACATTTGGAATTGACTGTGAAAGCCCTTCCAAACTTTGTGATGATGCCGCTGTCAGACGTCAACGTTATAGTCCAAACAAACACGCCGTGATCCTGCAGGAGGAAGCAGGACCAGGAGCAGAAGCTAAAGTTTGCTTTGACTTTAGAGATAGATTTCTTCAGGACTGTCAAAATAAACTCTTCTGCACCAAGATTTATGTTTAGTCTTGTGGTCATTTGGTGGACCTGTGTGCAATGTTCGAGGGTGAACGAATGAAAAACTGAGCTGAGGACCTACCTGACTGAAGTATTTACTCACTAACCCAGGCTAGACATGTTCCTGCATGGAGGGGGTCAAACGGAGAATTGTAACAGGACCCTGGAGGAAAGCGAAAGAGATATTTGCCTCAGATAAGAGGAAATCGCAGAGCAATGAAGATAAAGGATAGTTGTAAAGAGAAATAAATGATTGAGCAACTGATATCAGGTCAGCTTGCATCTGCAGATGTGAGTGGTTTACCTGTGCAGTGTCAGCTTGCAGAGTTTCTCCCTGTTGTCATCAAGGTGTTTGCAAAGCACTGAAAGCAGTGACGCCAACACTGCTCTGTAATTAAATTGAGTGCCTAAAGCAGTCCCCCACCAACCCCTCTCTCTGTTCCTTAAAGCAAACCGCCTTTTTGACGGCTGGGAGGTCCTTCTAGCGCCAGAGCTTAAAATAACAACTACCTGCTTACTCCCCCCCCCCCCCCCCCCCCTGTGTTTGCTGATTGCTCGGTCACCCTTGTGTTAATTCCACCAGGTCTGCCTCCTCCGTCAGTTTAATTACATTCTTGCTGCTTCGTCATTTGAAGAACTTCCATGCAGAACAGTTATTCGCAATATAGACTGGAATCTGTGTACTTGTTACTTTTTCATTTTGTATAGAGTTCATGTAATGTAATGTAATGTGTATTGTGACAACATGACATCATGACTTTTGCGTAAACATACACGCTTGGTTACACAGATGTGTCTCAGAGACTCCTTTCTCCAAAATATACCCTCAACTGTTGTCAAGACAACACTCCACAGTGCTGTGTCAAAATGGCTCAAAGAACAGAGGGGCGGAGTCAACAAAGCTCATTATCATTTAAAGGCAAATGCACTGAAACGGCGTGCTAAAACAGAGCTGTTTTTGACCAGGTTAAATGAGTGTTTTCTTAAAATACTAATAAGAATTTTTAATTAAAGTATATTACAAACGTTTAATTAAGACCCTAAAGAATTCAAATTAACTTGGCATTATATGACCCCTTTCATCCATATTAAAGATTTGATAAAGGGAAATATAAATGAAATTAATCACCATGTTTGGTCTAAAATGCAACTGCTCTCATGTTTTGCTGCAAGACAGCAGTTGCGAGTACAATTTTCTGCTTTGCAGGACTCTGATATGAAGAGTGTAAGTGGTATATCTTTAGCAACAGTGTGACAGTGAATAGCACATAACAGGCCCAGGACTGGGTATAAACAGATATATTGGTACAATATGCATCACATAACTAAACGTGGCATCGTTTTTGGAAGCTTACATTTTCTCTACAACTTCATATTTATCCACTTTGGAGTGATTCTTCAAAAATACCTCGTAAGGCCAAAACGCAGAGAAAAAGATGGGTTTTCAAACGAAAAAGTATAGAGTGGACAAGGCCAAAGTTTGTCTGCGGAATTGAATTTACCTCCTCAGGGAAAACTACACAAATAAAAGAGCATTGTCATTCAAATAGAATATTGGAGGAGGTGAATGATTCTTGGAATGTGAATGAATTTTCCACAGGCTCTGTGAGACTGTGCTCCATGAGTTTGGGGGTTGACCAACTCTGGAAACCAGATGGAAGGTTCTAGAAAGAGGATGAGATGAGAGCTCCAGAACAAACAAAGACAGCTTTGGCTTGTTTATTTTGATTGCCTGAGAAAACCTCCTACTTTGCAGAATGAAACCATGAAAGCTTGCTCCCTTCTGTCGGCTTGGGGCTCGAGGCCTTACTGTGAAAAACAAGAGGAGGGGGAGTGAGGAGAATGTGTGTGTCTTCTGCTGGCAGAGTCATGAGGATGCCAGAGCAAGGAGAAGCTGATGAATGGGTACACAGGTCTGTGGCCTTGCTCTCCGCACTGGGGTTTCCCATAATGCCTTTACATGGAAAACTTTATGAGCATGGGGTGCTGCCAGATATTTGGTCTGGTTGCCAACAGCAACTCATTGATGTGCTGAAATATACAGCATCTCTCTGTTGTTCTGGGCCGAATCCTTATAAAATGTTGTATTTAAGATCTGACTCTAAGCTTGAAGGTCGACAGCTGACTTTGTAAATTCTAAAAAGCAAGAATTTTAGAGCCAAAATGAATAAAATCGATAGGCATTTGATAGGGATGCACAATATGGTTACAGTCGGCATGAAGCGGAAGATGCAATAATCTTTTCTTCCCTATTGTTATGTATAACCAAGGGAAATGGCTTCTTGGAGAATAAAAAATTATGGATGGTTGTGGTTTGCTATTGCTGTGTCTCATGGGTGACATGTTGTCCCGCCCTCGTGCCAGTAAACACATCATCAGAGAAGAGATGTTGCTGCAAGAGGAAGGGGAATTTCGATTAAAGATTACAAGGGCACGTTATTATTTTTTTTAATAATTATGTGCAAGAGAGATTCACCCGATACTAAATTTTAACAGCCCTTGTATTTGATGCCATTCAAGTGTCCAACTCAAAGTATTTGTAGTTATTATATAACACATTTCTTATGGAGTTGCACAATTTAATGATGACTGCATGTGTTTCTTCTCAGGATGTGAAGATCTTCCGGGCGCTGATCCTGGGGGAACTGGAGAGAGGGCAGAGCCAATACCAGGCGCTCTGCTTCATCACACGGCTCAACCACAATGAGATCATCCCCAGCGAGTCCATGGCCAGACTGAGACAGGTCAGGCTCCCTCTGTGGCTGATTACGGGGCAGGGAGAAGTCATTGGGAGTGAGGGAGCGGATCCGGGGTGTTAAGAGTTGAGCTCATGGGTTGACTGTTGAGTAGGAGTGTGATATTTTAAATTTGTGATCTCAGAGGAAAAAGGCTGTAAAAGGCCTTTGATGAGTTGCTCCTAGGAGGGTGTCCAAGGTCATAAATGTGTGAAATTGAATGAAAGTTGTGATAAAAGACTGGAAAAATCTAGCTTTAAAGAATGACAGTAGTAATACTAAAAGTCTTTTTTATATTTTGCAGAAAAATCCCCAGGCCATCCGCACAGCGGAAGAGAAGAGAAGCACGGAGATGCTGAGCATGAACGTAGCGGTCAATTTAACACGGACGTGGCAACTGAGTGCCCACATCCACAACATGTGCAGCGTGGCCCGGGAGGCCGTGTACACGCGCGAGGTTGATGTCAGACACTGGCTGGACAGAGGCAAGGATGCTTACAGCGTCCCTTAATTACACCCTACCAAACCCAGCACTATTATTTATAACGCTGATGTGTTCTTCACAAATTAACCCTCTAATGCCCAATCTAATGTATTAAATTATAGTCAGCAAAATCCATTTAGCTTGAACTGCATATTGTACCTTTAGGCAAAAATGTAAAATAATAATTATATATTATTGATCAAACAAAAATACAATGCAATAATTTCAATACTTTACAATAAAGTCTGATTAGTTAATATTAGCCTATATATATATATATATATATATATATGCCTATAAATATAATTTGTCTACATGTTTTAGTTCACTACATATTAATTCATTATGTTTAATTATTCGATTGGGTCAAGTATAGACTCTTTACCTTAATTATCATGTTTTATCATCAGAGATATGTATGGAAGTTTGTTTCCGCCTTTTTTATGAAAAATAAAAAAGGTAATTGCGACTTTTTATCTCACAATTCTGACTTTTTTTCTCACAATTGCGAGTTTACATCTCGCAATTCTGACTTTATTTCTCACAATATCGAGATGTAAAGTCAGAATTGCGTGATAAAAAATTCGCAATTGCGAGATATAAAGTCAGAATTGTGTGATATAAAGTCGCAATTGTGTGTTATAAAATCAGAATTGCGCGATATAAAGTCAGAATTGCGTGATATAAAGTTGCAATTCCATGTTATAAAGTCAGAATTGCGAGATAGAAAGTCAGAATTGCTAGATATAAACTCACAATTGCGTGATAAAAAGTGAGAAATGCATGATATAAAGTCAGGATTGTGAGATTTAAACTATTCTGAGGGGGAAAAAAGTTAGTCTTTTAGCCAGATAACTCTCAATTGTGAGTTTTTATCTCACAATTCTGAGAAAATATGTCAGAATTTCGACATATAAACTCGCAATTATGTGTTATAAAGTTAGAATTGCGAGATGTAAACTCGCAGTTGTGAGAAAAAAAGTCAGAATTGTGAGATAAAAAGTTGCACTTCTGTCTTTTTTTCTCAGAATTGCGACTATATCACGCAATTCTGACTTTATATCTCGCAAACGCGACTTTATTTCTCACAATTCTGACTTCATATCTTGCAATTGTGAGATAAAAGTCGCAATTATTTTTTCCTTTTTTTTTATTCAGTAGCGGAAACAAGCTTCCATAGATATGCTATATATAAGGGGTTTGACATCAAACCTTTTTACACATCAAATGTGAGAAGGATCTGTAGTAAATCTAATTGAATGTAGTTAGACCTTGTACATTACTAGTGCATTACTGTTTGAACTGGAACACATCACTGTAGCACCCCACTGACCTTCATAGCTTGATCATTAACTATAATAAATGTTTTTTTCAGGCGCCGAGGGTTCCATGTTCGAGCCTCAAGCAGTGGAGGTGCCAGGTCTGCAGAGCTGCGGGACAGTGAAGGACCTGTGGCAGCCTTGCTCCTGTAGCTACAACCTCAGACTGGAATGGTACCCCTGCCTGCTAAAGTACTGTCGCAACAGGGACGTCTCCGGCAGGGGCAGCCCATATAAATGTGGCATCAAAAGCTGCAGCAAAGGCTACAAATTTACTTACTACGTACCGCACAAACAGCTGTGCCTGTGGGAGGAAGAGACCTAGAAACACATGCTTCTACAAAAACATCTTTAATGTGACCTTCACCTCCGAGCCTTCAGACTCGTGCCTACTGCACAGAGCAGTTTGACGAAGAAGTTATGCTGGATGGGTGTGGATGGAGTGTGATTTGAGCAGCCCTAGTGCTCTAATTTTGTTTTTCCAGAACTTTGAGCTGTCGACTGTGCATTTAAGCTGGTCAGTGGTTTTAAAGCTCTTCCAGCTCTTACCAGCACTGTGGAATGAGTCTTTTTTGAGTATTGACATGCAGACCCAAGTGAGCAACCTGTGAATTAGTCAGTGTTTAACAGGATGTAATCTTAAAATTAGCTGGATCTCGTCAGGTTGCCAATTATTTTTCTGAAGCTGGTATTATTTATTTCGCAGTGGGAAATGACAGAAGACACTTAAGCACAGCGCACATGTTCAGAGATTGTTTCTCTTTTTAACGTTTTTTTTTTTAGATTTAAAGCACTGTATTAAGTTAATGGTGGACGCAGACATGCTTTGATTAATTTTGGTACAGACAAAAAACGCTATTGAGTCATTCTCCAATTGATTCAAATAGATTCAATCATGTGAATTTTCTCACCTCAAGTCTTAATGCTGGCAACCATTTGGGAGTGTGTGTTTTCATCCTCATAAGGATGGACTTCTAAGCATTGCACAACAACAGTACCATTTAAGGTCCAGTTGGATCAATATTAACTTATAGTTTGAAGTATGGATGCAAGTTGGGAGCAGTCAACACTGCAAAGTAACATGGAAAACCAAAGTGTATGTTCTGATAAAACAGAGGGAGAGAAAAAACTGATGAAAATCCTGCTTAGATCGTTGTTACTGTGCATCAACACTGCCATCTTCTGGTTATCCGACATTACTGTCACTCAGGCTCCTCCTATCAGTATGACCTCAGTACATCAGCAGAGCTGTGAAACCATCACAAATATGGTTTTGTGTGGTATCAAATATCCTAGAAGATTCCTCCACTTCAGAAGGGACTTCAACATTCAATAGGACCAAATCCACTGACTAAGCTCTAATCATGAAGAAGAGAAACTGTTTTTGTTTCACTACATTCACCTCCAACTCACGACTCGCCTCTCTTACTAAGCGAATGTTCACATTTAACATGCACATTTGACTCTGTTGTAGTTCATGGTACTAAAATTTTTATACTGATTTATTTAATTTTTTTTTTTTTAAGTGTTAGTGTTATGTTAAAAGTGTTTTTTGAGATTACACCTACCCAACCGACAGCTGTTGTCTGGGATACAAGTGCCTTGTTGATTCAGTGTTTACTGATTCTTTTTTGATGCTAAAGCTGTTATGAATAAAGTATCAAAACTATTTTCCTATAAAATGAATATGGACATAAATATGAAGTAATTTTAAATAAAAGCTCCTTCAGCAAAGTGTCATAACCTGTCACTTTCCTACTGTTGTTTTTAAACGCATTCAGAGTTGACTGCAACATGCTTTGATTTCTGAAGGATCATGTGATGTTGAAGTATTATTTAATGAGCTGGTGTTATTCAATAAAGTGTCAATTAATCACTGACACAATGAAAGCATAGGTCATTTAGATTAAAACAATTGTTTTCAACCTTTTTATAAGGAAAGAGAAAAAAATTGTAACAGCTGTTTTTCCGATTCCACAGATGTTTTGTCTTTATAACTTGCTACTATTGTCAACTAGCCTACAGCTAGGAAAAAAGTAAATAGGCTGTCACTGATATATTTTTTCTTAAGATAATTTGTTAGTTTGGTTTGGTTTTACTTCGAGCTCAGCATATTTGCTGATTTAGAGTTTGATTTATGCATTTGTTACGAGTTGCACTCACTGATTGATTTGTATAATGATAATCTCTATATATGATCAGTGGTTACACTTGGCTTATATTAGCTATATATATATATATATATATATATATATATATATATGTTTGTTTGTTTTTGCAGATTTAGCATTGTTAAATTATTTATATACAATGTAATTTATTATAAGTAGTTTTAGGACATTTTGTAGTCCGTTTGAAAATGAAAAGCTGAGGGCCTCTAATTTTTTTAAGGAATATTTCACCGCCAAAATGAAAATTCTGTTATATTTACTTGTCACAAACAAGTAGTTTGTGTTTGTTCTAAACCTGTAGGAAGTTATATTTTCCTTTATGTTCAACACAGGAAATAACCTGCAGGTTTAGAAAAGCTTAAGGGTGAGTAAATTGACAGCAATTTATGTTTTGTGTGAACTATCCCTTTAAGCTCAAAGTAACCATGTAGTTGTTTACCACCAAAATACTATGTTCCACTGTTACAGTCATTTTTATTATTTTATAATAACCAAACTGGCAATTTGGTATCAGCACAGCAGCCAGCAACCAACTGTTTGAATCAAGTCCAATGCTGTTTTTCTACATGCTCTGCTGTCAGTGCTGGACACGACGGCGTTTGGCTGATTCAGGTTGGGCAGCAGTTGATAGAAGTGACGTTTCAGTTTTCTCCCCTCCGTTCGGCACAAAACACTATTATTTCGTAGTCATTCAGTGTGAAATGTTGACAGCAAACACGGATTCCGTCGTCAAGGCCTGTGGTTGTTGTGAGGGAAGCTTTTCTCTCTTTCGCGTTCCATACCAACAGAGGTCGCCCTGCTGTAGGGATGTGCCTTACTCTTTGTTGTCATCCTCGCTGTTGTCCAGTTGCTGAGTGACTGGGTTTCTGAAATGTGCCTTTTGTTTGTGTGGTGATCTGCGTACCATCTCCACGAAGACGATGCCGGAGCCGAACACTGAGATCCCTCAATACCTCGTGTCGGGTCCGCTGCTGCTCTTCTGTACGTGATGCTGAAGCGGGAGGCACGGAGCAAGACAGCATCCATGCTGAACACTCAATAACTGTCCGGCCTGTCAATGAACATGCTATTGAGGTGACTATTTTAAGGTTGTTTTACCATTTTCCTGTTTTAAGAACAGATTTAATTTCATGGCTACACGTTTAACCTGCTCTTAATTTAATTAACCTCATCCAACCCACAGCTCAGAAGATTAGCTTAAGACTGGGTCCATCAGTATCTACTGCGAGCAAAGAATCTTAAAGGGATAGTTCACTCAAAAATTAAAATTCTGTCATCATTATGAGTTTCTTTCTTTCGCTGAAAAAAAAAAAAAAAAAGATATTTGAAGAAAATTGGTAATCAAACAGTTGTGGGCACCATTGACTTCCATAGTATGGGAAAAAAAATACTATGGAAGTCAATAGGGCCCAACAAAGGTTTGGATCCACTTGAGGGTGAGTAAATGTTGATAGAATTTTCATTTTTAGGAGAACTGTCCCTTTAAAATCTCTCTGAGATAATCATTCCAATTTACTCTTATATTTATTAACTTTATGTATTAATTCATTTATTTTACTTTGAAAAGTGCAATTACATTGGAAATTTCCATTTATTGAACTGACTTTTTTGGTACCATAACTCGAGGGATGGGAATAGTGCGGAATTTAACTATTCTTTTAACGATTCTTCTAATACGTTTGAGGAAAACATTTGGAAATAAGAAAAGTTTGTTGCTAAATGGTCAGATAATTGTATATTTCAACACACAACACAGAGAGGGGAGACTGGGTTGTGTTGTAACATGGAGTCAAGTTGACAAGTTAGAAAAGATCTGTGGTAATGACATCAATATCATACACTCACTTCACCTTTTCAAGCTCACAGGAGAAGTGGCATGTGACAACAACATTGTAGATTTTATTACCAAAAAAACTGATTTTCAGTGAAAAAAAAATTAACCTTAGCCTAGCCTATACCATTGTATTATACAATGGATAGAATTATTTAACTTACATATTCTAAATTAGCCATTTCTCTAGTTTAATTTGATGTTTTGCATTCATGCTAAAAGTTAAGTTATGGCTGTTTGGGGTGAAGATAGTTGTAACAGTTCATTTGAAATATTACAACTCCTTATGATGATGATTCCAACTAAGTGTCCATCATGTATCAATCCATCAGGAGTCCAGGTATCAATCACATCCTCTATTAAGGCAAAGTCGCGTGTGTTTTTTTTTTTTTTTTGTTGCGCATCAAGAGATTTATGTGGTAAATATGTTTTCATTGTAGTTTATGCGCATGTCTTCATGTCAGATTATCAGATTATACATTATCCGCCTCCATTGAGTGCATGTTTTTTGAATTTATGCTCATTTTAGCATTTCAATCCAGCAGTTTTTATGTGATCGCAAAAGTGGATGGCAACATAGCCAGTGACTGAATGCGAAAAGAATACAGTACAGACACGAACACCCACAGCAGTTGTTTTTGTGCTAAATAGTCCAAAAGAAGTACAATGTGTTTTTTGTTTTTCAATTTTATTCAAAAGTGATTATTCTCTGTTCTTCAATAACATTCTTGCATTAATTTAGAGTATGTGCATACTATTTCAGCAACTCATCTCTCATTGTTACATCTATTCCCTGCCTGTGTTACAAATCACCCCAGTAGGAAGGTTTTAACAATGGAACTCTTTGTGTTTGACATTAACTCACATAATCTGTGATTGTGTAGTACACATTTAGTTTGTATTAGACAAATATGGCTACCATGAATACAATTTTGAGAGATCTAGCTAGCACAAACAACCACAATCTGTTACGCATGCTCAAACAAAAACTGTTACTACCATCCCTGGTCTCCCCCTACAAGAAATCAGAAATACATCTTATTTTACTTTTTTATTTAGAAGTGGTATTAATGCAATGTAAAAATGACTCCTAGTTATCATATAAAAAACAATAAACACACAATTGGTAACACTTTATTTTAATCTGTCCCTGTTACAGTGTAATTATACATTACTGTATTGTAATGTGAGTAATAATAACAATTAACTACATGTACTTATAGGGTTAGAGTAGATTACATGTATGCCAAATAGTTATTACTATAGTAAAATACATGTAACATGTAACAAGGGCACATTCAAATAAAGTATTAAACACATATTTCATTAAATCTTGAAAAAAATGTACATTTTTAGTTCAATTTTGGTTTATCTATTTTTATGTTTTTGATTCACTAAAAGAGACCAGCTAATATGATTAAATTAAATTTTAAAAAGTATTATTTTATTGGATTTTTTTAACACATTTACCGCCAATCAGAATCCATCCTTCGTTAAAGAGCTTGAGACTTTTAAAGTGGCTGATGACGACAAAGCTGCAGTTCATTTAGATGAAATGAAACGTTATCATGCACTAGTGGGGGTGCTAACATAGTTTTTGTTGTGGTTATCTTTATAGTTACCATTCTTGGTGCAAACGGGGCTTAAGAACCTTTTCTCATTTCTCAAACCTATACATACATATCAATATCCTGATAAAATAACTTAATATTTACATAGTTCTACGGCTTCACATCCGAGGTTTGGACAACATTTGGATAAAGAGCTGTGGATAAGGTTGCCACAGTTACTTTTGGTCTAGTTTTGACACACCCAGATAGAAGCCAGACTCTAGTATTTCTCAACTGTTCATGTGAAATCCACTGATACCCCTTCATACTCGAGTGCTTTTAGCGCTTATTCCACATCAGAATCAAGGGGAAAGTGCCATTTTTATACAGTCACTTGAGCGTTGTGGTGCTTCAAGTAAGTACTTTCATGAATGCATGCATCCAATCTAACATGATAAAGTGTTTTCTGATTGTGACAGCTCATTGTATTTGATTAGGTTCACAGAATAAAGATGTCGCCGTTGATGCTGGCAGTCGGAGTGTGCTTAGCTGGGTGGATTGCTCTTTATGCTTTGCTGTGCTATGCAAATGGCTCTTGTGGCTATGAATGGAACTGTCGGCTAGTTACACTATTCCATGGCATCCTTGCAGTCTGTATAACTGCTTACATTGGATACATAGATGGACCGTGGCCTTTCACCAACCCAGGCAAGATGAACCAAATGTTAATATATTTAATAGGGGTGTGCGGATGTTTAATGCAGATCAGATGTGGCATAAATGCATTTATACTGCAATTACAATTGTATAAATCATTTTTGAATATTAAAAGATGGTTAAATGAATTATATTTTAAGTATGACACTAAAACCATCAATAGGCGCTGCAAGTCAATCGCTGCGTCTGAAAAAGTATACTAAATAGTTATAGTATTTAATGTTGAACTTACTTTTTGACCGTTAAAGTCGGCATGAAACGGAAGTATCGAAGATCTTTTCTTCTTCCCTATTGTGATGAATAAGCGAGTGAAACATCGAACAAGAAAAAATGTAGAGCGGACTTAATTTGCCCATGGGGAATTGATTGGATGGTTGTGGTTTGCTATTGGTTGATCTTACGCCAGTAAACACATCATCAGTGAAGAGAGGATGTCACTGCAAAAGGGAGGGGAAGTTATTTTGATTAAAGATAATCTTATAAATTAAAAAAAAAATGTCAGTCATCCAGTTACTTTACACCTACTGTTGAATTTGGACATAGTTTTCTTCTTTTCACATTCTGTTTTTTTCGACTTGGGAAGTAGGTGTATTCGTTCTTAATGAGTGAGCCATTGAATCATTCAGTCAATGGATTCGTTCAAATGGCTGATTCATTACAAAACAAAGTTAATGAATGGCTCATTGAATCATTTACTCAACCGATTTGTTCAAAAACACAGATTCATTAACAAAATAGCTCAGAGATGCGCAGCAGTTCTGATGTGTCTTGTTTGAAACAATTTTCGTTGTTGAACTAGAACAAAAACAGACAATATAGAGAGCTTAAGTAAGTCCCTCCCCTTCCGGTCGACCACCATGGGACCTTATTTCGGAAAAATATTGTATGGTAATCAATGGCGAGAGACAACAAATATTTTGATCTCGTTTGAATTGTGCCCTGAATTACACATATGATGTTTGTCAATTTAAAAGATACATTTTCAAGTAAAGAAAGTCGCAGTTTGATGTAAAACCGTTGAGGTATATGACTGTGAAAATACGTAATTATAAAGACTACAAACCCCAAAGGCGCACATTTTCTCTCAATGAATGAAGACTTTACTGAGGCTAATTTCTGTCATTGTTTCTATAGTCTTACGTTATAATCGTAATGTTACGCCGTCATGCCTGAGTGTTTTGTACCAGACTGCACAGAGACGAGCAGAGGATCTTGCTCGTTGTTTCGCTTCCCGGGAGATGTAGTTCATTGAGTGATTTTCACATAAAACTGAATGTTGCTCTTCTGTTTTATGACAAACTGTGATGTTTTTGACTTTCAGAATGATCTTTTAAATTGACAAACATCATATGGGTAATTCGGGGCACAGTTCAGACGGAATAAAAAGATAAGTTGTCTCTCGCCATTGACTACCACACATATTTTTTCCGAAATAAGGTCCCATGAGCCGGAAGCGGAGGGGCGGGACTTAGGCTCTCTATTGTGTAAAAAATGCGACTCACTTAATATTAGCATTTTGTTTATTGAATTATTAATTAAATGCAATATCACATTTGACGTCGAGCTGATATTCGTCTTATTTTGTTGATTGAAGTGAAATACTCGTTAATGTTAGCTCGCACATTGTAAAAACAACAATTACGATATTAGTATGGAAAAAATAAACATATCGCACACCCCTAATTTATTTATTTTTTTTCATTAGCATTGCCGTATTGTCTTTTTTCATTGTAAATTCTCATATTTTCCTATATATCATCTGCAGGTACAAAGAACACCGCTCTGCAGATCACCGCTATGGTGGTCAGTCTGGGCTACTTTATCTTCGACATGGCCTGGTGTGTGTACTTCCGCACCGAGGGCCTGGTGATGCTCGCTCACCACACCATGAGCATCCTGGGTATCCTGCTCACTCTCTGGCTGGGGGAGTCGGGCATCGAGGGTTGTGCCGTGCTGTTTGGCAGCGAGATCACGAACCCCCTCCTCCAGACACGATGGTTTTTGAAACACTCTGGCCGCTACAACAGCTTACTGGGAGACGTGGTGGACGTTCTGTTCGTTGTACTGTTTGTATTCATGCGCATTTTTGTCGGTGGCAACATGCTGTACTGTGAGCTGATCTCTCCGAAACCTAAGTTCATCATTAAGTGTGGCGGCGTGGCCATGTATGCGCTGTCCTGGGTGTTCATGGCTGACATCGGGCCTTTCGCATACCGCAAATCCCTGGTCAAATACCAGCAGTGGATGAATCGTCACAAGATGGCAGAGGTCAACGGGCAGGACGTGAAGAGAGACTGAAAGATCTCTGTTAGATGAAGCCAGCAGATTGGCCTCTTGATTCTAACACTGGAGAGAAGAATGAGAATCAGCGTTACAGCTAATAAATCTCTGCCGCTAATAGATGTTTACATATTTTTTAAAAAGGATATCAGCTATTAAAGTTCACTTCTGGCTGGTAATATTCACATTGGAAACTATGTTTTTTATTTGCCATTATGATTAACACAAAATTCTTACAATCAAATCTAATGTGATATATTTGTACTCATAAGGAATTAAGTGTTTAAACTGTTAAGTACTGGAAATATTTGATATTTTTGTAATTAGGAACTACTTGTGATACATTTTAATTAGTTATGCACATTCTTTCCCATTAAACTTTTAGTATGTGCAATGTTCAAAAATGATCATGAAACTCTACTAATTGTTTCTCGAATATTATTGAATGATTTGTGTGTGATTAATGACTTTGAATGTAAAAGTAAATCCAAAAAGTCTTGTTACTGAAATGTAACCATTTTCAAATTGTCAAGTTGAGTGATGACGTATGGTGAATTGATTACACCAGTTGATAAAATCAATAAACATCATCATCATCTTTACCATAAATCAGTTTTAGTTATTAATGTATTTTGGGTGTTGTCTTGTTCCACATGTCAGATTGAACATCCTAACTAAGGCTACGTTCATATAAAAGCCTTAAATTATGCTTTAATCATGTGTAATTGTTTCATAGATACAGAAGTTTAGATTGGTGGATAGTTTTAGCACTGTAACTAATAGACCGTATTTTACGGAGCCCCTCTAGTCCCACTTTGGTAAAAAAAATTAATTATAACTATCTTGTGGCCTCAAGATAGTAACTCGTGGCCTCAAGATACTAACTCATGGCCACAAGATAGTAACTCGTGGCCACAAGATAGTAACTCGTGGCCTCAAGATAGTAACTCGTGGCCACAAGATACTAACGTGTGGCCTCAAGATACTAACTCGTGGCCTCAAGATAGTAACTCGTGAGTTAGTATCTTGAGGCCACGAGTTACTATCTTGAGGCCACGAGTTAGTATCTTGTGGCCACGAGTTACTATCTTGTGGCCACGAGTTACTATCTTGTGGCCACGAGTTACTATCTTGAGGCCACGAGTTACTATCTTGTGGCCACGAGTTACTATCTTGTGGCCACGAGTTACTATCTTGAGGCCACGAGTTACTATCTTGAGGCCACAAGATAGTTATAATTATTTTTTTTTACCAAAGTGGGACTAGAGGGGCTCCGTACGTATTGGCAAGAATCATAATTCTGACCGATAAGACATTTCTTGTTGTGCAGATCTACTAACTAGCCTAACTTGAAAAATACATTAAGAGGCCATACAGAAATGAATTAATTCTTAATTAAAAATCATTTAATATATTCATGGGGTTTAATAACAAAAATACCTAGGTGGTTTCACTGCCTAGAGATTGTAAAATGAAAAGTCTCATTAAAATATATATTTTTTTAAATAATTGTTGGCCTAGTAAGTGATTTGATGTGATGTTTTATCATTTATTTTTAGAAAGGAGTTAAGTAGTTTAGTTATATAATTATTCATATTATTTTTTAACCTTTTTTATTAAAATAATTTTTGTTTGTTTAGATTGAAATCTTAACTCTAAAGAAATCATCTTGAGATTCGTGACTTAATTTTTTAGGAAAAATGAGTACATTTACGTGCATTTTAAACAGTGTCTTCTTTTTATTATGATATCTTACATAGAGTAATTAATAAACAAAACCCATAATGCAGCATGTTGTAGAAGGTCCAACTCAAGTGAGTAAAGCATCCATAACGCGTTGCAATTTTGTGAACGTCCACCATGTGGCAAAGTAACATAATAGTTGAAGATTTTCGCACTCTTGGGCTGCCTTGAAGTTTATTAAATTTAATCAGTGACTGGCTCACATTTTCCAACGGAATAATAAACTTATTCAGCCAGTTGTAAATCTGAAAATTCGAGACCTTTCCTAAAAACCCATAATATCACGGAAAATGGACGACAAGTGAACGCCTTGTCCGAGTCACAAACAGTTCCATTCAAAATATGTGGTACGTTGCGTCTTTATGAACAAAATACAAAAACGTCTACACTCAAATGAGTCAAATCCATCTAAAACTACATTAAGTAACTAATGTTAGCCTTTCAGTCTTGTATTTAATTAGAGTTTGATTGAATATCCGTGAAGAAGCAACTGAATCACCATCATCACTCTCATAACACTGACTGTTTCTCAAAATCTAGTGAGCCTGACCACTTGTAGCCTACAACATTTTAGTGTACGTTCCGACTCAGCTCAGCAGAGTGAGCGTGCGTGAGCTCGGTTGAATCGGAAATGCTCCCCGTGCAGGGCAGGCTCACTCTCACTGAGGTTTGAGGCACAGCCCCGCAGGAGACACGGCAGTAGCACATCTCAACTTTCCTCAGTTTGCTGGTTCGGAACCTACAACCTCTAATTGATTTTTTTACGTGGACTATTGCTTTCATACGAGCTCGGTATCAGTTCTAAAAGCATGCGGGGATGCCCATGCGAACTTTATCGAGTGGTTTTGTTTATTTTTATGCTGAAGTGATTTCCTCGCCGCTTCATATAAACTCTCCGCGAGTGACACGTGTATAAGCGCGTGCATTTTTCCGTGTCTGGATGACTGTGGGATCGGTGTGGATGCCCCCGGCGGTTTGTTATTGTTGTTGGGAAAATAGCGCGTTTTGGAGTGTACGTTATTAGGCTGCTGTTAGCTTTAGCATAGCAAAGGCCTTGTCTGCAGTCTCGTTTTGCAGTACGAGTATCAAACTGCTGTTGTGTTGGCTGTGGACAGACGTACACACACTCACGTTCATCATTTGGACACTCAAAAGTGTTTTAATTTCCAAAGCAGTGCAACTTCGAGCTGTATGAAGTGTTTCGACTTCACCTGGGAGCTGCTGCCGAATACGAAGGTAAATTTACAGCTGTAACTTACAATAACGTAAAATCACCAATTTCGAGAGTTGTTTTGGTTAAATGATGCTTCCCAACTTGCCATAGCCAAACGTTACTGTTAAACCTAACAAGATAACATGGTTTGTATATATAGAACATGTTTTGTGTGTTTTATTTATATTAATTTCTAGTATATTAGATGTAACGTTCGAGTTAATGTTGTTTTTATAACCCGTTTTGTTGTTTATTTGTAAACAGCACCACCTCTGGATGAACCAAATGTTATTTGAGTTACTGAGCTACCAAATAAGTTGAGTTATTTGGTGTTGCAAAATATCATGCATAAGGACTTTTTTGTGCTGTTTTTTTGTTGCTTTAAAAATTTTCAAAACGTATTACATGATTTTATGTAATCTCTAATGTCATATAAGTGTATGGACATTTCATTTGGGTGGGTTAAAATGTTATTGCCTGGAATCATTTGGATTGAATTGTTGTTTTGGTGAACTACATGGAATATTTTACAATACATTTTCTGTTTTTTCTAATTAGAGAACCTCCTGGTCAGCACAACAGTATACGGATGCAACAGCCTCATGCAACATCAGAAACCGATGCTTCTCCTGATGCATCTGAAAATGACTATAGGATATAGGACGAATAACAGCTAAAAACAAAAGCCCAATGAGTGACACACGGTCCACAGTCACTGACAGGTATGTATCAGTTATGTTTGTGTCATGTGGACAAACTTGCTTCAGGTTAGATCCTGCCATATACAGAAAGGGACAAAATGTAAGAATTTTGTATCAAAATGTCCAAAAACCACTTCCATTATCCTAAATGTTTCCAAGAATTTGTAAATTCAGAGTAATTCACAAAACTAAAAAGTGCCCGTTTCTGTTCACTGAGGTCAGCGTGACGTAATATCCACGTTATCCTTGGTTTCTGCTTATACTGCCATAGTAACCATGGCGGCAGATGTGGACAACTGCGTGGTGCATAATGTCTAGCCTAGCGGCATGCTGTTGTTGTTTCATTCCACCATGACAAGCGACTAACATGGACTTGACAGAGCTGGACTTGACAGAGCTTCACTTGTCATGACAGGGAGGGACGCTGCACTTGCATGTACTTTATTAGACAGGTGTGCAAATGTACAACAAATCAATGTTATATAACGTTACCTCAACATGATGAAATGTTAGAATATGAACAGTATGTTATTCTAATGTTGATCGAGAATGAGCAGGTCAGAGAGACAATGAGAATGAGCTAATGAGACTTATGTTACTTAAGGATTACTTTTTTGCTAACTTATTTTATTTCAGTTAGTTGCAAAGGCAACATTTCAAATTTTTATCAACAATAGTTTATCTAATATTTAATTGTATTTCATCCTTATTTAAAAAAATACATTTAGTTGTTTTTAATAATAATTAAAGACCTGAACTGCTGTTTTTTGTGCATGTTATTTTCAAGTACTCTTCAAGTACTTTTTAGTACTACCTTTTATTGCTGATTGTTCTGTCATTGTTGGCTTTGAATGTTCGTATGCTTGTGTTCGCTATGCTGTTATCTTGAATTGTCCATCAACCAATGACATGGTTATGTTTGGTTTAATCCATCATGTTTTTGCTTACAGCTTATTTTGAAATTCATATCTCAAATTTGATCCAAACTGTCTTTGATCCCATTTTATAGACCAAATGGCCATTCAACAGTAAGCCTGAAACATTTTCAGTTGGCAGGGTTGATGATTTCATATAGACAAGAAGTTCAAGAGAAAACCATTGTTAAACTCACAACTGGTTCAAAGTGTTATGCACTAACTTTATGATTGCGTTTTAGACCATTACACAAATCAAGGGAGAAATCTTGTCTAACTTCATCATACTGTTATTTGCTATTGATTATATTCAGACTTGTTTTATATAAGTGTTTAGTGGAAACCAAGCCATGGGAAAGTTCAATAAATGTATCAATAACCTCTATTTATCCAGTACTCCCATACTATTCCCTCATGCTGGCTGAAAAAAGTCAGTCAGAGAGTGTTTTCTAATGGTAAACTTGGCAATTCGAGCAGCTCTCGCAAGTCTTTGCCACTGACGTCACTGTGGAACAGCAGACTGGTTGTCTGTCTGGTCATCTCCATGATGACAGATGTGCTTTCAGTGTTACAGGGATTGAAACATGAGTGATAGAAGTTAACTCTGAGGGAGAGGCTCGCTTATGTGGTTTAGTTGATATACCTTTCCATCTAGTAGAGTGCAAATATCAGGAATGAAGTTGATTGGTTTTCCTCTCATCTGTTATCACGGCAGGTGATTTATTGTACAGCACAATGGTGTGTTGCTAGTAGACCATTTGGAAGCAGACATCATTGTGGTGGCAGAAAAACAGCGGTAATTGGCGGGAAACAGTTGAGTTCCACGGAATAAGAGGAAAAATCCTCTTGTTCACCATTTTTACAGAATACCATTGTCAAACGTTGACAATTATGGTTGCAATCCATTAATGGGCTGGACTGATAAAACCTTCGCCAACTCTACTATAAATATTTTATGTAAAAACAAAAGATCCAAATAATAATTACATATGCAGTTCATAAAATGTTAGCCCTACAGCTATGTTATGAAATAATATTTAAACCTTTAAAAAAAAATTCTCTTGCAATTCTCACTATAACTTTCAGTTGCAAGGTTATATCACAATTCTGAGAAAAAAAGTCAGAATATTGAGTTTATATCTCATGATTCTGATTTCTCTAATCAGAATTGAGATTTTTTAAAAATATATTTTTGTTATTTTTGTCACTTTCTGCCACCAGGTAGGCTCCGCCCACAAACCATGTCATAGCTGTTTGCAAACATCCTAGTGGTCTATGCATCTTTTGTTACCTTCAGTTTGGTGCTGTTGTGTTTTAGTCCGAGGTTGTCCCAGTTCAAAGTCATTTGTTGTTTCTTTGTGTCTTGACATCATTCGCTTTCACCCATACACTCCAGAATGACATGTAAGCCATAACAGGATATCCTGTAAGCAGATTGGTTAACAACTTAAGTCTGTGAACCGATTGTTTTATATTGTTTTATTTACATTGTCTCGTACAGCATTTAGAATTGAAGCAGCAGTTTATTGTAAATCAGCTTGTCATAGTAAAGCCTTATAAGACATTTAAGGTACATGCCCTTTAAGTTTTTGTTTAATGTAAAACAAATAAACCAATTAAATGGCAATCTTGACAACATTTTATAATAGATAAAAATTAGATATTTCATATCATATGATATTAGATGGGAATGATAATGTATATATTATTAAATCAGGTTGATTACATTTTTGGAGGAAAAACAAAAAAAAAGTAAATATATGTATATGTATATGTATATGTATATGTATATGTATATGTATATATATATATATATATATATATATATATATATTTGTTGTACATTTTACAGTCCCCAGCCACTGTATTAAACACTGCTGAAATTTTGTGACCGAATAAGTTTTGTTCCTCTTTTTCACACTCAGAGATTATCATTGAAACGTGTTTCCTGTTCATCAATGATAAGCAGAGAGCAGCTTAATATCCAAGTTGCTTTAAATAGCTGTGCTGTTTTTTTTGTTTTGTTTTTTTTTTCATGGAGAGAAAGAAAGACTTGGGCATTGCAAAATTATCTTTGGACAATAAACAAATCAGCCCAGTTTTCAGTTGTACTGTGCTCGCTGGCTGCATGCAACTATGAACATGCTGTCCAATTTCCTAAATAACCTCTCAATTGGGCTGGTTCTTTTTAATGAGCAAGAGGAACCAATCAGACTAATTGAGCACAGACCTTTTCAGAACTAAATTGGACAGAAAAACACATACCTGTACACATTACAAAGAACAATTGGTTGGTCTATTAGTTTGCATTTACACTGTAAGACTTAATGCACATCTATTTTGGCACACAATATCAGATTGTTTTGTCCCGTCTGTTGCTATTTTATATCATTGTTTGTCAATCATTGCAGTTTTGGATTCAACCATGCAGTTAAATACAGTTGCAAATCCAGAAACTTTGCTGTGTAGTGTAGTGTAGTACTGAACAGCACTAAAAACGAGCGTTGTTTAGTGGATTCTTAACTTCTTATTTTTAACAATATATGTCTGTGATTTGCTAATGATCAACGCTTCAAAAATAAGTCGTAAATAGAAATCTTTAAAAGAGCGCTTGCACTGATACACACAGGAGTGTTTGAAAGCAACTTTTGACTTTTTCATTTAGGCTTTTATTCACATTTAAACATTGATCAGCGAACATAAACAAAAGCTCAACCGAACCTGCTTGATGTGCAAGACCGTGCTGCGTAACGCAAGAATAAACCTCATTGGTTTTTGCATAAGTGAACATGCTTGAGCTTCCGTTTTTCCACAACTGATGTGTGAGTTGAACGTTTATGACGCTCGGCTCTATGATTGGGTGTCATCAGTCGTGACATGTCCTTCCCTGATTCGTCAGCCACTGTTTACACCAGCACGTGCATGCCCAGTGTTGGTGAATGGTCACGTGATCCGCATTTTCAGTCGTTTTAATGTGGATGGAGATCAATTCGAATACACAGATAAAACGCTGGTGTGGATGGAGATCGTGTTCGTTTTAATTCTCCGTTTTTAAACGAAAACGCAGTACACTATAAAAATGAATATGCTTTATCTAATCAAAAAATCTAATATTATTAATTAAATTCTACAAATTAGATTTGAGTAATAATTAATCAAATTAATTCCTTAAAAGTTAACCATTTAAAATGAGTAAAACTTACAACAACAACCAAAAAACATAAATTGAAGTCACTTATGGTGATCAGTGTTTGTTTTAGGTTTGTTTTAAAATCATGCTTTTCTCCTTCAGTGATTCTGCTTGTTAACATCAGGTTTCTTCAATGTTGGCAATATAAATTAAGTTCTTAATTAATCTTTGACGTCTGTCTGTTAGTGAGATATTTTTGTTAATTTTTTTGGTGTTATCTTTACTCATTTTTAATGGTTAACTTTTAAGGAATAATTTGATTAATTATTACTCAATTTTAATTTGTTAAATTTAATTAATAATTTTGCTTGTAATCTGTTTCCACAATTCTTTTGATTAGATAAAGCATTCATTTTTACAGTGTAGTGTGGACGGGGCCTCAGAATACAGAGTACAGAAGCGAACTGAAATTGAATGGAAGTACAAAGTCTGACGTGGTCAGGGTAGATATTCTCGATAGTACATCTGAAAATTGGGAATATCGTGATTGTTATAAGTTTGTGTGGGTATTTATATACATATAGACATTACAGGGCTCACTTAAATCTCAGATTTTCAGTCCATTATTTCTAAGCACAGAACCGGTTGGCCCACTCAGATTTAGATCATAGTGTCAACACAAGGTTTGTGTTCTCCTGACACACGCCCAGTTCTTTCTGTTTTCTCCAATACATTGATTCACGGTCAGGTTTTATGAAGCACTTTGCTTATGTTTTGAGCACAATATTGTTGTGTGCTCATTCTTGTGACCCGAGTGGCTGACAGACGCTCTCACTGGAGTGTAAATGAAGAGTGGAGTGGGCCGGCCTCACACCCTGCTGTCACTTTGGCATGCACACAACAGCAACTCCTCCTCCTCTCCGGTGCTCTTTCTGCACCAGATCTGTCTCAGTAAAGATCACCAGCCCCTGCTGAGT